TAGAACGATGGGAATGAAAGAAATTTTGAGGACTTTCATTGCCTATAACCATTTGAGAATAAAAGTGATAAAAACAGAAGAAATAGGATCCTCTAAGACAAAACTTTTACATAAACTTTGAATAAAATCATAACCCACAAAATAAAAGTGACCATTGGATGTAAAATTTTGCCTCATTTGCTTTAATACCCATGTGTTGCATATAACTATTGAACGTTAAAATTTACCTTGTTTTCTCAAATTGATAAGTTGAAGGGAAATATTTATACAATGTAAGTTAAGAATAAAAACCCTTAAGACCAATAATGTGAGGGGCAAAATCTGAGTTTTTGTCTACCAATTACTTGTGCCAACGTGTGAAATTGGTGCCATAATGGCATTAAAGTGGTATGGGTTACAAAGGACTAATGCCCACATGTTGCATCTGATCATGAGATGTTAAAATTTGCCTTATTTACCCAAATTGCAAATTGCAATGTAGGAGAACAAATACCCTTACTTTGAAAGTTGAGGGGCAAAAACCCAAAGTTGATAAGGTGAGAAGCAAAATATGGGTTTTTGCCAAAAATTTTGTATAATGATGGTACTGAAAATGTTTTGAAGTTGTTTCCCCAAAAATCCTCAGCCAGCCTTTACCACGTGAGTTGGATGTTAAGCGTGCCACTTGCTTTGTCTAAAAACAAGAAAGTAGGATTTTCTAGACGACCCTTCTCCTTTCCAGCGGTCGACCTCCAATTAGGATGGCTGGAAAGAACGTCTGTGAAATCAATTGCGCTCCAGACAATGTTGCAAAACAAAGGGTAGAGTTCTGCAAAATGTGTTACTAATTGCCTTGGAAACCTCCAAGGACTTCACAACCAAACGAGTGTAATAAAAGCTACAAATCCTAAAATAAATGCAATATCCTAAAGCAATTAAACTAATATGAAGTAAATAACAGAAAATAACATGCCATAAAGATTAAATTCGCAGACAACAGAAAAAGTAAAATAACAGACAATGATTTCAACTACACAACCCATAATGATAGCTAAAATTGAAGAAGAAACTATGAAATGATTAAAGTCTGGGGACTTATAAATCTAAATCTGGAAATTGAAATGAAACAAACTGCATGTCTGGATATTGTGCAGAAACAAAAGAACAAAGGTAGAAAATGTTCATCCTATTTACATGAACAAATAACATAACTAAATCCATAAAAGGAAGAAGAACTAACCGAATCAAAAGGGCAGACCTGTTTTGAAGGCTAAGTTGCTTCGAAATGCTTAAAAATTAATCTAAATTGGAATGTGCTGGAGGAAATATGAACAAAGATGAACAAACCTAGGCTAAGGCTATGAACTAATCTGGAAAGTCTGGAAAATCTGGAAACTATTGCTGAAATCTGGAAAATGCAGTCTAAAAGCTGAAAAACATGCTCTGGGCAGTCTGTCTGTGTGTTGGGCAGGCCTTGAACTGTTCTCTTCTCTCTGTTTTTGTTCCCTTCGATGCTGGTAACCTCTTCCATGATCTTCTCCATGATCTTCGGTACTGTTCCTCCATTTTCGGCACTGTTCCTCCATGATCTGGTAATGGGATTGCAGGTCTGGCAGTTATTTAATTGTTATCCGATTTTTATTTAACCTTATCTCCAACAACCTTAAAGATAACTACCTAAAAATCCTCAATTTCCCATTTTAAATCAAACTCAAACTACCAGATCCAATCTTATCTTCTGCCACCTAAGATCCAACCTCCTTGGAAATCCATCTGGGCCATTAAATTGTAAGCCAGCCCAGCCCAAATCCAGCCTATTGATTTTCTTGATGATTGGGCTTTACCTCGACACGTGGCCTTACCCTATTGATTTGTTTTACGTGTAAACAGAAGTTATAAGGACTTTCATCGGCATAAGCATTTGAGAATGAAAGTGATAAAAATAAAAAAGATAGGATGCTCTTATATAAAATCATAACTATTTATTTTTTATTATGA